ATATATATATATATATATATATATATAATAGTTATGTATTTATTTATATATTTATGTGTAACTGATAATACAAAAACAAAAACAAAGCGCTCCAAATTTTAATATTTTTTTGAGGATGACGATAATCTCGACCGAAAATAGGGAGACAAATGATATATCATCAACAAATTTCCATCATCCGACACAAATCTTGAGCTATGACTCGGATCTCAAAATATTTTTTTTGACAAGAAATGTTCAAGCCTTAATAACAAATTATTCAGAGCAAATGTTTCAGCAAACTTACAGTCAAACTAACCAACTCAACGAGATGAATTCAATAATACCAAAGTTGATCCAATCCAAGTTAAATCAAGCTCAAATCAGGTCATTAAATCACTCTTGGAAGCATTCAGAGCATATGTGGAAGGTCAAACAATTGTTGAATCTTCTAAGCTTATAGTCAAATCAAGCGTCTCAATGAGACAAATCCAACGAGTCTAAGATCACTCAATTCTGACATCATAAAAGACCCTCAAATGTCCATCAAAAGTCGTCTGATCGAGGGAAGCTCTCCAGACTGTCAGATCAAAAGTGGTTCATATTCATGAATTAATTGCAATTGAAACTATATAAATAAAGTCTCACCCCTCTTTTGAGGGGAGGTGAGAGCTTGAAGACTGAAGAAGAGCTTCAAACTTTGAGAAGGAGTTGAAGTCCAGCATCATTCCAACCACCATCGACCATCACCAAGCACCGTCGACCACCACTTTTTGGCTCTAGCCAATCTTCATCAACTATTGCCTCCTCTTTGTGACAAGATCATTTGTGTGTCGACATTGTAATTTGGAAGACTTTGTTACCCTTTTCCACCTCCGGGACAAGGGGTCTATGTAATCAACTTATAGTGGATTTCCATGTAATAACTTATGGTGTCTCTTATTTTTTTCCCTTCATCTGAGTGCGTGTTGAATTCTCATGTAATGCTAAGACAATAATCTATTACTCTAACACAACAAATTTTCTAGCACGCATCAAGTCAGACGATATCAAATATAGCTCGATTTGAGTTCAAGTGAGCCCAAATCATGCACTTAAAGCATATGTTAGCAACAAATATTTATGTCACAAATATTGTATGCTCCTGTGATGTTGTGGAAGCATGTGACAGTCACGTGTGCCCTCTTGTAGCTCAAGGAGGTTGTCAGGACATTACTAGATGCACTACGTTTCAGGACCAGGATTTACCCCATCTTGGTCATGCCTGAAAGCAACCACCATTGATTCGTGACAATTTCTTGGCTCTAGGAGCAATTGGAACAATCATTTTGAGACCTATGCAGTCCATTCCAATCATTAAGAGCTTTCTAAGTGGTGAAATGCACTTAACAAACTTCCGGTGCAAAAAATGGCACATAAGGGTCTAGCGTGACCACACCTAACCCCTCCTCATAAGTGAGGGGGATACGTTCAGCGTAGCCACCCCTAAGCCCACGACGTAATTACGCCGTAGAACGGCGTGACCACGTTAAACCTCCCAATAGTTGCGTGAAGGCTCCCTTTGGCGTGGTCACTCCCAAAGGCGGCGTGTCCACACCACAAAGATAGTGAGCTTAGAGTAATTACGCCAGGGAGGTGGCGTGATCACATCAACCCCGAAGGTAAAGCAGTGTGATCATGCCTGAGCCCGACATGACAATGCCGGCCCGCCTAATTTTGAAAATTTGGTCTAGCGGCTCTAGGGAGGTGTACCGCCTTGAGCTAAATTTTTAGGCCCTCCTTGGACTTGGGGAGATCTCCTTGGGATTATGAAAAGACTAGGGGAATTAACCCTTTTTGGCATGTCCTAAGTGCCTTTGCTTAGCCATTTTTGGCTTAATTAAGAGGCACTTTAGGGATTTTGCATGGGGAGGCTGGTTTAACTTTGCCTCTCCACCTCATTATTCTCTATGAACAACCTTCAACACTTTTTGCCTCCTCCAAGAGCTGAACTCTTCTTCTTCCTTGGAGCTTCTTCTTCCTTCAAGCTAGGGATTTTCTTAAAGGCCTTGAGGTGAAGAGCTAGAGAGAAAGGTGAGAGTGAGAGCTTCTTTCTCACAACCCTCCTCTTCTTCTTCTTCCTCTCCTTCTCCATCCTCCATATAATGCAATCTTCTTCTTCCTGCACCATTCTTTGAGTGTGTGAGGAGAGCATCTTGAGGAGGGATGTGGTTTTCAAGGTGCAAGACTTCTTCACTCCTAAATCAAATGAGAGCTTAATACTGTCATAAGGAAGGACCACCAGAGCTTCACCGAAACTTCATCGAAGCTCAGAACTTTGTCAGAACGTCGTCATCTCTCCTGCCACTAGAAGAGCTTCATCTATGTGAAGAAACACGACATCAAACTCCGTGTTGGTGAGGTTCCATAAATTCCTTTGCATTTTCTTTATTAGCTAGCCCTAGGAATAGACTTTGCTAGGTGTTTATGGGTTAGGTCGTCCACGCAAGGAAGATTTGACTGACCAACCGGTATCGTCCGGTTTAATCGATCACCCGTTGTCGGACGATCTAATTAGTCGAAGTCATATACCTTTTAATTGGTCAGCTCTGTTGTGTTGCGTTGTGTTTTGGTCGCCCACGCTAACCAAGTTGACCGACCGACACTTGTCGACACGACCATATGTTTATTGATTGGCCATTTATTTCTTAGAGGAAGCCCTAGGTTATGAAGTCACATGTTTGATCAAATCCTTTATGAAGCTGAGTGGCTTTCAATTAACAAAAACTATCATAGCACATGTAAAATACATGGATGTACTAAAACCAATTAGTTTGAACAACTAATGAAAGCTCAGATGCCCACATTATATTGAGACTTTCATTAGCCTAAAACAAGTATTCACGTACTTTAAAATCACAAAAAATAAAAAATAAAAGAAAAGACATCCTATTCAAATTTTCAACAAAAACAGATCAGGAAATGATTGAAACCAACTCGCCCGATTAAAAAATGAGTCCTCAAAATTATAAAGCTATCATCATTTCTGAATGGAGCGATTCCACTGATGTCTCTATGAATAAAAGTTAGACTAAGATTTACAAGCATACCACTAAATTTTTATCTATTAACATATCTAACTTCTAAGCTTCAATTTATGCATTAATGCCACCTTACATCTGCAAGAATCATATATTTCACTTTTTAAAAATTAAAATAATTATCTTTTTTTATGTTATATGCAAGATCTAAGTGGTATAAATGTAAATAACAGAGCTTAGGTGTAAGATATGTAGATATGTATAAGAATTGGGTTGTATGCATATAAACTCCACTTCAGAAAACAAAGAATAATGAGCACAATGTGCTGGTGAGAGTAAACTAGCCGAGCTTGAGCAAAACCATTATCCGTCCATGTTCAGCTTCTTTGAAACTTTTGTTTTTTTTTCAAAATAGGCCGATGTTTGAAAGGGCTCGTGAATGATATATTCATGTTCGACTCGATTCAAATTCATTTATGCATTTCAACTCGTGTTATACTTAAAAATTAACTCGAAGATAGAAAGAATAATGAAATTTACTTTTTTCAATATAACATAAAAATTAATATAAAACTTTTACAATATTATTAATTATTTAATTAACTCAAGTCAAATAAGTCAGAGCACAATCAAACAAAATTTTATTAATGTTCAACTAATTTATAACTCATGCTAAAAATACTGTTCGTCCTTGGTTTACTTGCTCAACGAACGAATTAACCGCAAGCTACTTGACAAGCCAAACGCGAGATGTACTGAAATTAGGAGTTTTTTGACAGCCAGAGGCAAAAAACAAAACATAAACACAAAACCGTGACATAATAAACCATGCAAGAACCAGAGCTTCACAGGTGATTTAGCATTTAAACACAATTCTCCCAAAACTAAACCATGCAAGCTTAAAGAAATTTCACCTTCTCATTCCGAATCTTTTTTACTAGAATAAAAAACCTGAACTATAGCTTATACACAATTTGTTTTAGATACACCAATATCAGCAAACATCCAATGACAAAACATAGCAAATTATTCATACAACATTTTAGGAGAAGAAGCTCATCAAGGCAAATAACTAAGCTAAACAATATAATGGAACGCAGATATTTAATCCCAAGTTTTGTTCATTATATCTTATCTCAAAGCAAGTCTTTTGAGGTGTTGAAACATCCGCTGCTTAATCCACTGTCGATCAAAAGGAAGAAAAGCATGAATAGAGTGATCATAGCTGCAATTTAGACCAAAAAAATATGCATCAGATTATCAAAACTAGAAGGTAAAATGCCAAAATAGTCCCCGAACTATTTAAATGGGGTGATTTTCAATTCCAAAGTCTATAAAAGTGTCAAATTAGTCACTTGACTCTTTTGATATCAACTTAAATAGTCTCCGGGGAGCACTAATTAAGTGCTTATGATCCTGGTCATGAATATCACCCTATATATCGAGCGCAGAAAAATTGTTCGTGTTCCGCTTGTTTGCTAGCAAATGAACAGAACACAAGCTACTTAACAAGCCGAACATGAGTTGTTTGCAAACAATGAGCTATTTTGACCCTTACACCAATGTGCTTAGATCTGTAAAGCCATCAATGAAGTTATATAGATCGGTGATATCATAGGTGATGTTTAAGATGGTTGGATCGATCTCTTTCAGTTTTCTCTCATAGAGTCCACAGATTCCTGCAAATGAAAGAAAAATATTTTGCTTTCTGAGGGAAAGAAGTAAAAGAGGAATGTATTAAATTATTCTTGATCTTGCAGATTTTCAGATTCATCACATTTTGAGAAATTATCAAGTTACGATTAAGTTTTCAAGCAAAACTTTCTTGCAAAAAAGGTTATTGTTTATATTATAGAATCGGCAGTTTGTTGTGCCAATGTTATCAGTGGTTGTAAAACGGCAACAGGAAGCTTCCAAAATGTATAAATTTTGTGCGACAATATGGGTATGTTTGTCCCTTGCAGCTAGGGGTGTAAGCGAGCAAAGCCAACTCGTGAGCCGGTTCGAGCTCAGCTGGATGAGCTAACAAGCCAAGTTCAAGACAATCCAAACTTGACACATTAGTTCGTGAATTGGCTCGCTTAAAAAAATATTAATATAAAATATACTCAAAATATATTAAATATTAAGATGATATTTTTTAAATTATTAAAAATATTTAAATAATGATATTTTACATTTTATATCAAATAACTCTTATTTTATCTCCTAATTGCTGCATCCAATTTGTCATTTTATTAAAACACTAGCTTAAATTAATATTGTTTTCTCTATTTCATAACAAGCAAACCAGCTCCCCAGTCGGCTCAAACTCGTAGGCTTAAGCTCAAACTCGTAGACTCAAGTTCAAGATGAGGGTGGCTCGAGCTTGACTTGACTTATTTATACCCCTATCACAACAACCAAATATTGTTGGCAAAGTTGCAAATAATTACTAGGCATCTTTTTTTTTTGGAACTCGCACACCCATATGTATCAAGTTTTGAACTCAAGACCATGTGGTTGGAGACAAAGAATATGACCACTAGGCTAAGTTAGCAGCACACAGACAATTAACAAACATTATTAAATGTTGACGATGAAAATTTGAAAATGGATGCGAATTGGAAGACTACAAAAGGAGCACTGGGAAGACAATTATGAATCGCTGTATTGCATTTACTACTTTTTTCAGTTTACTTGTTGGATATCACATGCCTACGATGATATTTTTTATGAGAATGAGATTTGTTCACTAATGTTTTGATTGTCTTATAAGATTTGATTTACCCTTGCAGCCTGTTTTGATTCAGCTCATGGCTCTCTGATTCAGATTCACTGTTTCAGTGTGCATCCAATTATTTGCATTGTGCATCCACTGATTTGAAAATTCATTGTTATTGTCGCTGATTTAGTTATAGTTTTCTCAATTAGGTTGTGTTGAGTTTCTTTCTTAACATTGTTTGTCAGCTCTTTGCGGATTTTTAAAGTTGAAAATTCACTTATTTACTAAAACTCAGTCTGAAAATCTACTGTTGCTGTACTAATTCAAATTTTGAATAGCAATTTGCAATATTAGGCCAAATCTGGAAGAGTTTTGATAAATTATTAATTTTGGGTCTCTTGAGGTTATAAAGAGAACATGTGAGACGTGAAAAATTCATTAAAGGTTCGAACAAAATTTATATTTCCTCTCAAGTTTTTTGTTTGCTATTGGACGTTGATTCTTTGAGCTCTTACATGTCGTGACAACAATCTCCGGGAATGATCTTCTTGTATTGGTGGTGTTAGATCTTTCAATCTGTGATTTATTGCTGTAATCTTTTTTTAAACTATTTACTAAATTGATTTGTATGCATGATTGAGATTGTCTAGTTTAATATATATTGGTCTCTTTTCTGTGGTGATAATATTAATAGCTACAAAAGTATAAATTTGTCCTAAAATTTCTAGTGAAATTTTAGATTTGGTAACTTAAAATAATGCTTGAAAATAATAAAAATGCCCTCTCTAAATTTGCCTAAAAAACTTGTTTATCCTAAAACTAGAGTTGGAAAGCTATAAATTATGATTCTATGCGTGTTCATTGTGCATCTCATCTTAAATTTGCATTGGAGGACCCTAAAATTTGAGATGCTCAATATCATATTGGTGTCACAATCAAGTTCATATGAACATGACTAGAAACAAGACACAATACCAAGGTCAATTAAGAAATCATCATAGGGATGAAATTTTGAATAATTTACCAAAGAATATCCGCAAGACCAACTCAGTATTGCAAAAAATCAAGTTAAAATCTAGGGAAGCTAACAAACATTCCCCGCAAGAACAAGATATTACATCATGCTTTAATGAAGAACCATTCACAACATTAGCAGAAGCAAACTTTACCATAAAAGAAATAAACTAGATAAGTATCACAAGGATCATTCCAATAAAAATTATGACACCTATTGACATAAATTATATGACAATAATGATGAAATAACTAAAATAAACTGGTATTGAGGGACAAAAAAAAATATCTGGATTAGAACATACCAAAACTTAAGTGAGATGAAAATGATGTTAATAGAAAATACCAACCTTTATCTTACCAAGATCAACTCCAATGATGAACTGAAGTCACTAAAATAAGAAACGAATATTATAATTGAATGCATAATAAGTTTGAAGAGTTGTTAGATTAAGAAAAAAGAAAAACTAAAAACAATGTTTTTTAGGCTAGTTTGAAAGAGAAACGACATCACATAATGTTTACTCACTCAGGAGGCTTTCAACTAGCCTTCGATCCTAAACAACTATTCTCGCATCTAAAAAAAATTCTTCATATACTAAAAACACCTATCTTAACCAACTAATCAACGTCAAATTGTTTCTTCTAAAGCGAGTAACAATATTATTAACAAATATTGTAGAGAAAAATCTATAATAACTATTGCGACTAATCTAAAATTTCTCATTTTAAATGTCATCAAATAAGTCTGCAAGTGAAAGACCTAATCAAACTCTGCATATTAATTTTGAAGAGAAAGAAATGAAGAAGCAGAAGGAGATGATGTGCTTGAACTCAATGAAGAGTAATGATTCAAAGAAAATTTTGATTGAGAATTCTTTCAATAATTTGTTATTCATCATTGACGCACCTAAAGTTGAACATGATTAAAAAATAACCTCTATCTTTCAAACATATTTTAAGTGTGGTGAGAAAAGCTAAAAACTCATCATTGATCATAGAATTTGCATACATGTTATTATTTAGTTTGCAATTGGACGCATGACTTTGAAGGTTGAACTACGCCCAAAACCTTACCAATTAACTCAGGTACATATATTACAATTTTTTAAGACATAAAGATGCTTGATGTCCATTCAACTTACTATGTATTTTAGTTATAGATGTTAAACAAGGTACCATGGTTGTATGATTTGGATTAAAATTGCTTACAAGGCCAAAGGTGATTTATATGAACAATTAGTAATGCCTTCTGAACTAACTAATACACAAAGTATTTTCATTAGAATCATGAACTATGCTTTTTGGCCTTTTATAAGAAAATTTCTCATTGTGTGATTTGAAGATATTCCAATTTATAACAAAACGAGATGGGAGGATTTGGTAAATCTTATAAATGTGGCAGTTCAAAAAATTATATCTAAATCTAAATAGCTGTTTTGTCAGAGTCCCTTATATTCTTAGAATTCCTTATGAATGCTAATAGATTATTTGTTGATCGTGATAAAATTAAAGCTATTAAAGTTGGGGAATACCAACTAACATTCATGATATTCAAAATTTTCTTACTTAAACCATTTTTATAGGCAATTTCTTAATGGGTTTAGAAATCTCATGACAGTAATTACAATTTGTCTTAGGAATGGAAAACTTGAATGGATAAAATTGATTGAGCTTGTTTTCAATTGCCTTAAAGAATGGCTTACAAAAATTGGAAATATTTTGCAATGCACCAGGTGTAATAATTAGAGGAATTTCGGGTGAATACGGAGATCTGAATGCATATTTTGGTAAGAAGTTATAAGAAATAGAATAAAACATACTCAAATTATGATAAAAGATTTAAGTTGTGGGGCAATCGCCAATATTGGAGATAAATATTACTTGTTGCGTGATAAATTTGTCCTATACTCTTAATACTGAGGCCTAAAATATACTCTAAAAAAAATTAGTAACATCAGCACATTAATTGAACCGACTTTCTACGAAAATACACATTTGTGCTAACATATTATGCTAGAGCAATAATAAAAAAAAAAAAAAGAAACTGGAGCTTTAAGTAGGATTTCTATTATTTCACACGACATGTGGGTTAAGATGACCAATTGTGATCACAATACAAGAATGTATGCCATTTTCAAGGATTTCAAAGAGATTTATCTTAATTTAAATAGTGACTAGCTTATGCATAGAACAAGGTTCATAATTATGAATGAGTTTCTTTTTAGCATTCCTCAACTTCATATACCTTATTCAATTTGAAAGATTTTCTTTGACTAGAGTTACATGCTGGATGTAATGCAAGACATTTTGGTTGTGATAAAATCATAGTTAAAACTGATGATAAGTATTACTAGCCAAACTTACAAGTTATGTCTCATGTATTGTTTCACGGTAGAGAACACACCAAAAAGCTAAGGGAACAAACACAATATTGAGCTTTACATCAATTGGTTATTCCACATATACCCTGGAAAAATGTTAATATAAACTTTGTTTTAGAACTTCCATGAACTCTAAAGAAACACAATCCTAATTTTTTGGCGGAAGATTGCTTTTAAAAACTATTCATTTATTACATATTTTGAATCTATTTATGCAGCTCACATAGTATATTTTATTTTAACAACCTGAAAAAATTGAATGGATTACCAAAAATCATTATATTAAAAAAAGATATAAAAATCATGCATTGTTTTTGGAAAACGCTTTAGAAGAAAATGAAAACCAAATTAAAATTTTCAACTTCTTATTACATTAAACTAATGGACAAAACTGAGAAGATTTGTTATGTTATTTGATTAAGAAAATACATATTTGGTTAAGATTTGATACTACTTATTACTGAAATTGCATGCAAATCTTTAATTAAAAAATCCAAGGGCATAAGTACATTAAAATTGCTATATCGTATCAACCTAGAAAGCATAAAGATCTTGTTGAACTTCACATTGAGTCTAAACCAAGTGAATTTACATAATGCATTATTTGCATGAGTATATTCAAAGAAAGCTACCGATCTTCAATATCTCTAACTTGACTTGATTTCAATAACCTGATATCAATGTTGTGGATTCTTGCCCCTTTCTATTTCTATTTTGTCAGTTCACATCCAACAACTTAACAAAAAAAGCTACACAATTCGTTCATGAAGATATTATAAATGATGACATTGTGGCCTCAACTAATATTAGGAATCAGGAGTAACAGAATCATTAGTGTGATAGACCAACTCAAGATGTTCAAAGATTATCTTGCAGAAATCACATCAATTATGGCTAAACTTGATGAATATCAAATGTGAAATCATTAGAACTGAAAATTTTCAACCAAAGTAACTTGATGGAAATTTTAAAGTGCCTACTGATAGCAAGCACAAATGAGAGGATTGGGATAAATATAAGAAAACTTGGTGTTGTATTTACCTTTATTTTAGTTTTTTTACTAGATGTAATCCGATTATGAGAATGATACCTATAAGAACAAAATGTGTCTCAAGTGCTTTGATTAACATTAGCTTTGATACTTTGATTTACTACGTCATATTATTTCAAATCAGCTCTAGGAACCCCCAAGTTCATCTATATCTAATTCATATTTCAGTGTACATCTAGTCTTCCATTTTATTCCATCCATTGTTTTGTAATTTCACTTATATTGTCGTTGCTTTGGTTATTGTCAATGTCATAGGTTGAAAATTCACTGATTTTCTGAACCTAAGGTTAGAAACCTGGTCATGCTAGAAGTTAAATCTACCAAATTGAAACTTCTAATATAAGACCAAATTGTGAGAAATTTTGAAAATTTACTTATTTTAGGCCTTTTAGGGCTATAAATACGACCCTTAAGGCATAAAAAACATACTAAATGATTGAATACAATTTTCATTTCCTCTAAATTCTTGTTTGTGTTGGATATAATTTCGTCGAGTGATTGTAGATACTGACTACAAAATCTAAAGAATGATTCTCCTCATACAAGTCTAAGGTCCTTGACTCAAGGGTAATGGATTCTATCATTGTTTTTTCCTTCTAAATCATTTAGTAATTGGTTTCATGCAGGATTTAAAAATTTTCAAGTTTTATGCTATGAACTGTAAGAAATAGGCAAGAGATTCACATTGGTTCAATTGAGTTCCGTATGAGAAATTTTTAATTGGCTTGTTTCAAAAGGATTTTTTTTTTCTGCAAGAAAAAGGGCAATCAAAAAATAAAAACACTAGAATAGAGGAAAAAGTATACAAATTAAGTGGCTAAACCGTGATGGCCTATGTCCAATAGAAGAGGTGAAAACTATCACTCAAAAGAAGAAAAAAAGAATGACGCCTCTCTCATCCTCTTCCTTATCACAAAGTTTAGTATCTCAACTAAAGATGGCGAGTTCAGTGGTTTAAAAATCAAAAGACGTTTAGTCGTTGAGAGTAGTAAAAATATGCTTCGATCAAGCATGCAGATATAGAGGGGGTCGGGTCAGTCGACAATTGAGAAGGCCAAATTTATTGGAGGCAAGACAAGTGGTGCACAAGATGGTACTAGAGCACATAGATTTGTGAATAACACCACAAATATATTTAGCCTAAATAACATATGAAATATAAATAAATGTAATGGACATATTACATCACATAAACCCAATAGATTGATTACCTAGAGAAAGCAAAAGAATAAGAACATCACAAAATATTAAGGGTAAACTATATTAGTCAATGAGGTGAGCCTTCCATTAAGGGTTATTTGGTTGCAAGCATTTAAAATAATTGTATAATTTAAATACATTGTAAATTCATACATATTTAATATTAAGGTTTGTTTAGTTTGCTGTGAAATCAATTCATGAAACCACTTTTTTAGTGTTAGATTGAAAGTAAAATAAACCTACAAGTAGATCTTTAGACAATGAGTACATGAGGCGGCAATGTTGTAAGACGACGAGGGGGCATGGTCTCATAAACAACGTCGAGACTATGAGTTCGCAAGTATAAGGACACTACAAGCAAGGGAATGCCAAGACAGTGAATTTGTGTGCATGAGCAAAGATATGAAGTCACAAGGCATGATTAATTTATAATTCACTCAAATTGAGCCAATTCAAAATTCATCAAAAGTGAACTATTGAAGGTATTCAAAACCCATTTAACATACTTTGAATTTCTACTCTCACTCAAACACTTGACAAAGATCTAGGGTTCCTAGAAGAAGTGGGAAGGTTAGGAGATGGGTTAGGAGGGTTGTAGGATGAGGAATAGAAGTGGAAACGACAACGGTGGATGAGGAACTTCTCATACGTATTTTCATTCTTTGCATAAAAGCTTGAGTTATCTAAACCTATCACACAACTGCAGTGAAATTAAAACAGCATTGTATCCCAAGAAAAACTAAAATATTTGAAAAAGGTTAGTTTGTGCATGTTGTAAAACAGGTAAAGAGAGAACCTGGTATGATAATGAGTTAGTAGATCTAATTATATAAAGCTATCTCTATGTTTTGGCAAGTGAACTAATACCCTAAAAGAAAGAACCTTACAATAAAGCAATTATGCTTAGTACCCATAAATCTACACAATCCTCGTGAGAGCTGAGCCTCAAAAGTTCTCTGCACTTAATGAGTCAAATGATATTTTTATCTGTCAACTGCCAACTAAAGAAAAACTCCAATTGTGTCTAGATTATGATCAGAGTTACTACTAATATTAATGAAGAAAATTAGTACAATATTGGAATTTATACATCAAAACTCGCAATAGAAAATGAATTTTGTTAACTGTTGATCCGGGCAATAAGAAAACTTCTGAAATTTTAAGCTAGAGCTCCAAAAGCATGCTCATATTCTTAAAAATAGTATTCATGTGTACCATCCATGGCTTGACTGAGTGAATCAAAATCCATAAATGTTCTACTAGCCCTGTTCTGAGATGCCTGAATCAATACGATTGTGTGCCTGTTAGCCTGCATGAGAGAAACAGTTAGCACTAAAAAAGATATTTATAAGCTTACAAAAACAAATTTCAATGAAGAAGGATGTTTCAGCTTCATGTCACTTGTTATTAGGGAATTTGGTGCAACTTCTAAAATGTGAAATATATCTTATCATGCATAGATAAGGTGGCATAATTGTAAACATCGAAGTTAGGTGTTGGATATGAAAATACATAGGTATTAAGTGGTATGTATGTAAATCTTCCTTACTTTTTTGAGCCATTAGAAAAACTCTTAATGAATATGCCTTCTATCTTGATGAAGAAGTTGGCCAAATCATCTAGAAACTCAGAAGCACCACTAAAAAGCACTACTAATCAAACTACTAATAAACTAGGGTTGTATAACGGTATCATTTCTTGAAGTGTTTCCACAAATGCCATTAAATCGAGTCAATTATAGCATGGGATTCCTATTGCTGCTAAATGTAAGGAATTTGATACAAACTTCTTTTTATATTACAACTAGCACATTTCAACAAAAAATTTAGGTCATGATATTCTGATTCGAATGAATTTATTGTCATCAGATTAGTTTTAAATTGTGTGAAATACAATTTTTTTTTTATTAGCCATACATTGTACTAATCCAAAAGCAAATATGTTGGTATAAGTTAATTCTAACCAAATTTTGATATGCTATTCCAAACGAAACTTTATTCAAAAATCTAGTCAGTCATCATACTCTGAATCTAGTACCATTGCACCAAGGCAAAAATATTAAAAAATAATAATAATAAAATATAGTATCCACTCATAATGTATCTTCTTCTTGCTCCAGTCAAAAGAAACCTAAACAAGGATCTTTCTAGGAACAGAATAGATCTTTCGGCATAAGACCGCTAAGAAGTTGATAATCAAATAAGAACGGATGCAGAAATAAAAAACAAAAAAGAAAAGGAAATAGAGAGGGGAAGCTACCATCGATCTCGTCTACGATGAGCGCGAGCAGCAGCGACTTGATTGGGAACGCCAACGTTAGTCGACCTAGCTATCTACACAAAGAAGGTGAGGGCAAGCAGGCAGCAACCAAGATTCTTACTCGTTCTGCAAATGGGAAGTTTAACCGGCTGTCAGGGATCGTTTGATCTCCTTCTCCTTCTCCTTCTCATCATTATTATTTATCATAGTTTATTTATATTTTGATGAATAATATATATATATATATTTGGGGCAACTTATTCAGAATAACTTATTGATAGCACAAAAACATATAGTGCAGAAACATACAATAATCACAGATTAGTGTAATTGCATGTGTATAAACATATAATTTAAAAATAGAAAATTTTGATGAAAATTTTTATTATATTTAGTTAATTTACATTCGCTCCAATAAAGAGATTAAAGTATCAAAAAGAAAATTTGCACAATTTCATATGTATTTGTACATTAGATACACGTCTGCATGAATCTCAAAGAAATCAAACAGAAAAAAGGAACATAAAAATCTATGGAGGGCCCATATGCAGAAGAGCTAGGACTCGCAAATGTAAGACCAAAGACCCATTAATGGAAGATTGAGGGTCTGTTTGGGGCAGCTGTTGATTATTTATAATTTGCTGATAAAGAGATTATTCTGATAATTTGATAATCTGCAAATTATCAAAATAATCTGACTTGTTTTTTGGGGCAGCTTATTCAGAATAGCTTATTGGTAGTTATGGTTGTATAAATGACATTTCTGCCCCTGTCTGGTAAAACTGTTTGGGGCAACTTATTCAGAATAACTTATTGATAGCACAAAAACATATAGTGCAGAAACATACAATAATCACAGATCAGTTCCAAAAGATGACATGCAGTTCTCACACTCTCGTGAGTACCAGAAGAAATAAAAAATGATAAAGATAAGTACAACTACAATGAGAAATATTAAAATATTTAATTTAAAACTCTGGCTACGTCTGTCTTCAACTGCACTATCAACCAAGGAAAACATCGAATTTCCATCACTGCTGACAATGTAATATGTGGGACTGTCAGCCCACCGGAAGAAACCGCAACGAGTTGAAACACCCTTGACACAACAGTAGAATTACCTCCCAAAGCTACGCGACGAGAGCAACAGAGTCAGTAGTCCACAATAACACAAAATAACTCTGTCTGTAACTGATATTCTATAAGTCATGTTTGTATAACAGTGAAAAAAAAAATGAATGTCATAATTTATAAAAAAAATACACATAAAAATTGATCTACATATATTCGAAGATAAGAAAGACTTGTTGGATTAGCTGTCATATATAACATATGCTATAGTCTCCCTTAGAGCAGCCATCTCAGCCACACCCTCCACGTCATGAACTTCAAATTCATTAACTTCATTCT